ACCTCCTTCCCTCCTTCCCAAGTTCCATATCCTCCTCACCAAGACGCCCAAGAATGCAGGGTGGGGAGGCTCCGTGCACCCAGCCACTCCACTCCAGAGGATGGCCCAAGCAACAGAAGGCTGTCATTCAAACAGTTTTGATTTGTAGTGTGGCTACAATAAGCAATGTGGCCTTGTCCTTCCTTCCTCCCGTCCTCCCCCACCTCACCCGGGCTACCTTGTCAGTTATCTCTTTTTTTTTTTAATTAATAAAGAAGGAATGCATGGTTTCAAAACAATAGTGACTTTATTTCCTTTGCCAGCTGTGATCGAAGGGGGGAGGGAGGTTGGCTTACAGCGAATTAAAATTGAAACAAAGGGAGCGGGTTTGCAACAAGGAGAAACACACACATCTCTCACAAGGTAGCCTGGCCAGTCACGAAACTGGTTTTCAAAGCCTCTCTGATGCGCAGCATGCCTAGCTGTGCTCTTCTAATCACCCTGGTGTCTGGCTGCTCAAAATCACCGCCAGGCGATTTGCCTCAACCTCCCACCCCGCCATAAACATCTCCCCCTTACTCTCACAGATATTATGGAGCACACAGCAAGCAGCAATAACAATGGGAATATTGGTTGCGCTGAGGTCTAACCTAGTCAGCAAACAGTGCCAGCGAGCTTTTAAATGTCCAAAGGCACATTCTACCACCATTCTGCACTTGCTCAGCCTATAGTTGAACTGCTCATTACTACTGTCCAGGCTGCCTGTGTATGGCTTCATGAGCCATGGGAGCAAGGGGTAGGTTGGGTCTCCAAGGATAACTATTGGCACTTCAACATCCCCAACAGTAATTTTCTGGTCTGGGAAGTAAGTCCCTTCTTGCAGCTGTTCAAACAGTCCAGAGATCCTAAAGATGTGAGCATCATGCACCTTTCCCGGCCATCCCACGTTGATGTCGGTGAAACGTCCCTTGTGATCCACCAATGCTTGCAGCACCATTGAGAAGTACCCCTTGCAGTTTACGTACTGGTTGGCAAGGTGGTCCGGTGCCAAGATAGGGATATGCGTTCCGTCTATCGCCCCACCACAGTTAGGGAACCCCATTGCAGCAAAGCCATCCACTATGCCCTGCACATTTCCCAGAGTCACTACCCTTGCTAGCAGAAGGTTAGTGATTGCCTTGGCTACTTGGATCACAGCAGCCGCCACAGTAGATTTGCCCACTCCAAATTGATTCCTGACTGACCGGTAGCAGTCAGACGTTGCAAGCTTCCACAGGGCTATCGCCACTCGCTTCTCAACTGTCAGGGCAGCTCTCATCTTGGTATTCCTGTGCTTCAGGGCAGGGGAAAGCAAGTCACAAAGTTCCAGGAAAGTGCCCTTACGCATGCGAAAGTTTCGCAGCCACTGGGAATCATCCCATACCTGCAACACTATGCGGTCCCACCAGTCTGTGCTTGTTTTCCGGGCCCAGAATCGGTGTTCCACTGTATCAACCTGCCCCACTGCCGCCATGATGTCCCAATTGCCACATCCCGTGCTTTCAGGAACGTCTGTGTCCATGTCCTCCTCACAATCATCCTCATGCTGGTGGCTCCTAGCCAGGCTCTGCACATACTGCAAGATAACGTGCAAAGTGTTTACTATGCTCACAACAGCAGCGGTGAGCTGAGCAGGCTCCATGCTAGCCGTGCTATGGTGTCTGCACAGGTAACCCAGGAGAAAAGGTGCGAAATAATTGTCTGCCATTGCTTTCACTGAGGGAGGGAGAGAGGGGAGACTGACAACATGTACCCAAAACCACCCGCAACAATGTTTTTGCCCCATCAGGCATTGGGAGTTTAACCCAGAATTCCAATGGGCGGCGGAGACTGCGGGGCCTGTGGGATAGCTACCCACAGTGCACCGCTCCATGAGTCGATGCTAGCCATGGTATTGAGGACGCACTCCGCCGACTTAATGCGCTTAGTGGGAACATACACAGTCAACTGTATAAAATTGCTTTCTAAAGATCAACTTCTATAAAATCGACCTAATTTCATAGTGTAGACATACCCATAGGCTTTATATTTATTAGCAGCTAATTTTCTCATTCTCTGCAGCTGCAATTGCTCCAGTCTGCTAGCCACTTTGCAGGTAGGTTCTGTCCTCTGTGTGTGCATCTCTCCTGTTTAATGTTAAGGGCTCACAATGAAATACCTGACACAAAAAGACCCAAAGCAGCCACACCGAATGCTGAAAGGCACTTTTGTTTCAGTTTTAATTGGTCAAGAAAACCTTCTGACATCTTAGGAGGCCTGACCTAGGCTACAATTGGCTGTAGAGTGACAGCAACTCCACAGATCACCTGCGTATATCTATACTGCAGCTGGAAACAGACCAAACAGCCATTGGATTTTCCGACACTGAACAATATGGGCTGGATTAGGACTAAAACCTAGAAACAAAAGGCTCGCTATCCCATAGCCAATCCCAGGAGCATTCTGCCCTCATCACCCAGGGAAGTTGTTTTTCCTTACACAGAAGAAGTATTTGTGTGACTTTTCCCCCCTTTTATCACTTGAAAAACAGGTACCAATGCTATAATGCCTGGGCAAAGTAAAAGGGCCAACCTGTAGCTTGGGATCAATATCTGGTCTGGAGTACAGAAGCTAGACAATTGTGAGGATCCAGTGAAGGGCACTAGGAGGCTGCAGTTTACAACACTGATCTGTCTTTTTGGTCCGTGAAATGCATAGGCCCAATCCTGCTGCCTTTGACATCACTGTCAAAAACTCCAGTTGACTTCAGTAGGTGTAAGGTTGGGCCCTGGACTAGCAATTATTTAAGAAACAGAGGAAAGTCATTACCAATGTACAAGCTAGAAAATGGTTCTCTTCGGTCAGGCAGCAGCATAACAGTGCTGTACAATGCAAAGAGCACCGAGCCATAAAGAATGCTTGGCATTCCACTTTCTTTGATGCTAGGAAGTATGGTAAGAGATCACTGGCTTAACCAAGAGACCCTCAATGACCCGAAACTCCGTGTCTAGTTGGCAGCCGGTTTCAAGCGGAGTGCCCCAAGGGTCGGTCCTGGAGCCGGTTTTGTTCACTATCTTCATTAATGATCTGAAGGATGGCGTGGACTGCACTCTCAGCAAGTTTGCAGATGACACTAAACTGGGAGGAGTGGTAGATACGCTGGAGGGTAGGGATAGGATACAGAAGGACCTAGACAAATTAGAGGATAGGGCCAAAAGAAACCTGATGAGGTTCAACAAGGACAAGTGCAGAGTCCTGCACTTAGGATGGAAGAATCCCATTCACTGTTACAGACTAGGGACCGAATGACTAGGAAGCAGTTCTGTAGAAAACGACCTAGGGGTTACAGTGGACAAGAAGCTGGATCAATTGTTTACAATCAAGTTGGAAGGGCATATCGAGTGGGGCCCCACAGGGATTTGTCCTGGGTCTGGTTCTATTCAGTATTTTCACAAATGATTATGGATAATGGCAGAGAGAGTACACTTTTAAAGTTTTCAGAAGACACCAAGCTGGGAGGGGTTGCAAGTGCTTTGAGGACAGGATTACAATTAAAAATGATCTAGATAAACTGGGAAAATTGTCTGAAATAAATAGGATGAAATTCAATAAGGACAAATTTAAAGTACTGCACTTAGGAAGGAAATATAAAATGGGAAATGACTGCCTAGGACGGAGCACTGCAGAAAAGGATCTGGGGTTTTTCCTGGATCACAAACTAAATATGAGTCAACAACGTAACACACGTTTGCAAACAAAGTGAACATCATTCTGGGATGTCTTAGCAGGAGTGTTGTAAGCAAGATTTAGATTAAACATTAGGAAAAGTTTCCTACCTGTCAGAGTACTTAAGCTCTGGAACAAATTACCTAGGGAGGTTGATGAAATCTGTGTCATTGGCGGTTTTTAAGAACAGTTAGAAAAACACCTGTCAGGGATGGTCTAGAATAATACTGAGTCCTGACTCAGTGCAGGGGACTGGAACATATGACCTCTTGAGGTCCATTCCAGAGCTACATTTCTATGATTTTATCATTTACCAATACAAAACTATGTTGAAAATTATATTAACTGCTCTAGAGCCAGATCAGGCCTTGTGCAGCTGCAGGCTCCTCTGGCCCAAACGAAGGGGAAAAGGGACCAGCCCCCTTCATGGCATTATCTCCCATTCTTCCTGGACATAGTGAGCCAGCACATGTGAGGGGGTGGGATCGGGAGAGGAAAGGATGATGGAAACACATTGTTCCTCCCCTCAACCCCCTGGGGAATCCCACCCCCCAGAAGCTGGTCCAACTATATTAACTTGTGAGATGGTTCCCTAGGCACTGAGGAGATGGAACAATACTTGTTCTCCACTCTTCTCCTCTAACTCCCACTTCTCATGGCAACCGAGGGTTGCTGCCTGCAGAGAAAGCCATGGTGGAGAGTTAGAGAGAGCTGAAAGGGGGCAGATGGACAACATGGAGGCATGGGGCTTCCGTGTGAATGGCCCTGGCTTCTAGTATCAGGGAATCTCACTTTGTTGCAGTCAAGGGGCAGCCCATGCCAAACAATTTGGGGGAAATACCATGATGAGACCCTCCTGATGTTTTCCTGCTGAAAGGAACCCTGTGAGGTATCCCCCTGGGAGGGGACAATCTGGGGGTCCCAGCTATAGCCTTAGGAGCCAAATTTACACTCATTTTGCATCCCGAACTCCCAGTGATTCCAATGGGAGTTTGGGATGTATAAGGAACACAGGATCGATCCCTTAGAGCTTTACTGAAATCCACAGGAAATCATTCAGGACACAATAAACATCTATATTTTTAAATCACTAACCAGGGTTAATTTGCCTCACAATCTGACGTGCTTAAAAAAAAACATCCTAAGAAATAAAAGAATCATCCCTTTTTTCCTTTGTCCACTGGAATTCTCTGAACTTTCTCTAAGCCCAGGATACTGCATTTGTCCCTGCTCTCAGTGGAATTCTTTCTCCCTCTTGTCCCTGGAATGCTGTGAGCGAGTCTGGAAGGATTTCTTGGACAGACATTTTTGATTAAAGCCTGTGTTAAGAAGGCTGGCTCAGGGCAGATCAACGCCACTCCAAATCCACTCGGTCAGGAGCAGCAGCAGAATGGAGTTTCGAGGCGCCTGCTTGCTTCTGTGCCTCTTTTGCCTTGTGCAGGTTACAGTCCAGCAAGCTTCCACATTCAAGCAAAAGCCAGCGAGCTCCAAGAAAGGTAGGGCGCTGGGAAGGTTCATTTGGTGGGCCTGTATTTAACAGCATTTTATCAAAATCATTCTAAAAACATATAGACTTTAATAGAGCATCAGCTTTTTTTTTCTACAAGATCTTTGACCCATCCTGCAGAATTCTATAGCAAGGAAATTTAAATTCTATTGCTTAGTTAAAAAAAAATCTTCCCAAAGGTATTGTCTTCTATTAAATTCTGCAAGATGTCCCCATAGTGAACCATTTGTTCTAAAATTCAGATAGCAACATACTATATATATTATCTCTATGTTTCTACCATTTTTTCCTGCATAAAAACCTCATTTTGATGATCCTTAATCTCCCCCATTCCATTTTAAGAGGAAAATAAAATGACAGAAGGAAAAGAGTTGATGTAAATTCAGAGGCAGAGTAGACAGAATATTTACTCCAAGAAACAGAGGAAGTACAGAATGTCTATGATTATATAACTTTAGTAACAAATACCAGCAGTGGTCTCCAAATCCTATTTTAAAACATTTGCCTCAAGTGTATATTAAGTTGTACTTCAGCTACATCTAGTAAAGAGTAATCATTAGCAGATAGTGTATAGAAAAATAAATGCACTGGGGTTTACTCACCAGTCCCTGTTTCTGCACAATACAAATAATTGAAGAACAACTCGGGTGAGTAACTGATGACTACTGTGAGCTCACTCCAGCCCTTAGAATTTGTGGGGAAATACTTTGGGGAAGACAGTTTCACAGATGTGTCAGACTGTTGCTACAGATATTTGAATTCCTTTTAAACATGGGATTTTCATCTTGGAGCAAACCTGAAAGAAGAAGATGTTTAAACAAACCATTTACTTGGCCAGTCATTTTCTGTAGCCTCTTCCCAGTTTGGTTATTTTTCCTCAGAAGTTTGTATTTGAATGAGCTTTTCCTTGTGCCTGGCCTTTCAGTGAAGTCCCTAATCATGTTTATTTTTAAAAAAATATCGCAGTAAGGGTCCAAAACACTCTCTCACCTCCACTGGTGCAGGGCATGTGTATGTGTTGCATCCCCTCCCCTCCCTCCAACTTGTACCAGTAGGTGCATTTGTGTTTCTCAAAGGAATTTTGCTTCACTCGATATAGCAATGGATTTTTCTCTTTGCAACTGTTTGCTGACAACTGGGCTCTTCAGTAGGGTTGGTTAAAAATTTTCCATCACAATTTTCTTCAATGGAATGAAAATTGTCACTGAAAATGTCTGCTTTCCTCCAACATTTTCATCCACACTCCAAAACTTTTTTTTTGGCCTCTGGCAGTTTTCGGTCAAAGATTTTTTTCATTTTCAATGATTTCAACAAAGAAAGGGGAGGAAAAAAAGTTACCAAACTGAAACAATGAGGTGTAAATTCATGACCAATCACTTCTATACTCAGGGCTGGCTCCAGGGTTTTTGCCACCAAAAACAGCCAAAAAAAAAAAAAAAAAGCCGCGAACTGTGGCGGCAATTCAGCGGGAGGTCCTTCGCTCCGAGCGGGAGTGAGGGACCGTCCGCCGAATTGCCGCCGAATAGCTGGACGTGCTGCCCCTCTCCGGAGTGGCTGCCCCAAGCACTTGCTTGCCAAGCTGGTGCCTGGAGCCGGCCCTGTCTATACTCAGGGGGTGCTGGAACAATTTGTACAGTGGGGGTGCTGAGAGCCATTGAACCAAACTGTAAACCCTGTATATGATGGAAACCCCTTCAAGCTGTGGTACCTAGGTTAAAGGTTGTGCGGCTACGCCTACCTGAGCTTCAACCACACCCCACATTGCAGTGGAGACATACCCTTAGCCCTTGTCTACACTACCACTAACTTCGGTATAAATTATGTTGCTCAGGGGTGTGAATAATCCACACCCTGAGTGACGTAAGTTACACTGACCTAAGCACCGGTGTGGACAGAGCTTCTCCCTCTGACATAGCTACCGCATCTTGTGGGAGGTGGAGAAATTATGCCAACGGGAGAGCTCTCTCCCATTGGCATAGAGTGTCTTCACCAGACGCGCTACAATGGCACCACTGCATCAGTGCTGTAGTGCTTTTAGTGTAGACCTGGGGTGGACAAACTTTTTGGCCCGAGGGACATATCGGGGTGGGGAAATTGCATGCAGGGCCATGAACGTAGGGCTGGGGCAGGGGGTTGGGGTGCGGGAGGGAGTGCGGGGTGTGTGTGCGGGTGTGGTGTGCAGGAAGGGGCTCAGGGCAAGGGGTTGGGGCAGAGGAGGGGTGCACAGTGTGGCAGGGCTGCCAAGAGGATTCAGGGGGCCTGGGGTCTTTGGTGGCAGGGGGCCCCCACTGCTGCACTTCGGCGGCGGGTCCCGGGGCGGAAGGACCCCCCACCGCGGGTCTTCAGGGCACTTTGGTGGTGGGTCCTGGGGCGGAAGGACCCCCCGCCACCGAATTGCCGCCGAAGACCTGGAGCGGAAGAAGCTCCGGCGGCCCGGGCCCCACGAGAGTTTTCCGGGCCCCCCGGAGTGAGTGAAGGACCCCGAAAAACTCTCGTGGGGGCCCCTGTGGGGCCCGGGGCCTGGGGCAAATTGCCCCACTTGCCTCCCCCTCTGGGCGGCCCTGCAATGTGGGAGGGGGCTCAGGGCAGGGGGTTGGGGTGCAGAAGGGGTGTGAGGTGCAGCAGGGGTTTGGGGTGCAGGCAGGGGGCTTAGGGCAGGGGGTTGGGGTGTGGCAGGGGGTTAGGATGCAGGGTGCAGGAGGGTTCAGGGTGTGGGCTCCGGCCCGCCACCACTTACCTGGAGTGGCTCCAGGGTGACAGCAGTGTGCACCGGGGCCAGGGCAGGCTCCCTGTTTGCCTGCCCTGGACCTGGCCCTGCGCCGCTCCGGGAAGCAGCCAGCACCATGTCCCTGTGTCCCTTGGGGGGTGGGGGGCAGAGGGCTCCGCGTGCTGCCCTCGCCTGTGGGTACCTCCCCCGAGGCTCCCATTGGCCACAGTTCCCCGTTCCTGCCCAATGGGAGCTTCGCGGGAGGTACCCACAGGCGAGTGCAGCGCGTGGAGCCCTCTGGCCCCCCTCTCCCAGGGGCCGCAGGGACGTGGTGCCGGCAGCTTCTGGGAGTGGCGCGGAACCCATGGCGCCACAGGAGTGGCAATCCTGTGGGTTGTATCCAAAGCCCTGACAGGGCCGGATCTGGCCCGTGGGCCATAGTTTGCCCACCCCTGGTGCAGACAAAGCCTTACTTTCCCTGGGCCTGAATTCACCATCTATCAAATGGAGATAATGGTATTTCCCTCCCTCACTAGGGTGTTGTGAGGATAAATGCATTAAAGTTCGTGAGGCACTCAGACACTACAGTGATGAGGTAATAGAAGCACCTACTAAAATAGATTCTAGGGGTTTGGATGCCTAATTCCCAATAAAATTAATGGGAATTGGGTGTCTAAATCCTCTAGGCAGCTTTGAAAAAATCACAGCTCAAGAGATGTGGCTAGCAAGCACTTCTGTGAAGCAGATCTTCAAACATGTTGAGGCATGTCAGTCACAAATTGAGCTGTAAGCAGTTCCCACCAGGAGAATGCTAGCCACCAGAATTTACATTTGCTAGCTTTAGAAGATACTTTTCATCGGCTGTATTTCAATGGCGAAAACTGAGTTTAAGGGTTTTAGCATGGCTTCCCTGATCAGTGTGGAGATTATTTTCTGTGAGAACTGTTCAAACCACATTATACGACCGTGCTGTGGCTTAATGAGGAGTGGGTTATAGACCAGTCTGGCTAGAAAAGTTCTCAGAAAATATTGCTATCCACAGTGGTCAGGGAAGTCATGTAGTACCTTGCTACAACAGCTGGGTGTTTATGATAAGCATCTTTCAACTATAATGTGAACACATCCCACGTGGAAAGAGTTCCACTGCCTTTTCTGCTCTCTCTGCAAGTAGTGCCATCAAGGGTCACAAAAATTCATGGACGGTAGAATATCAGCTGTGTATAACTCACTGAGACAACACCACAGCATGTATTTCTCATTGACAGTCTATGTATGCACAAGATACACACTACACGAATTATAGCAGAAAATGGCTTTAGGAAAGATTTTCTTTCGACCATTTAACCAGTCTCAGCTGAATGTTTCCATGCTCTAAATCAGGCTAGATTATTTAAAGACAAACAACTGAACAGGAGTAGTCTCCATCTGAATCTTAATGGATTTCTTCATGGGGTTCAGATCAGATGAGTGTATTACAGGCTGTCTTTACTGCTCAATTATACACAGGTTCCACAGAAACGGCTTATCACAGATATTTGGATTTACTATGATCGCTTTTTAAAAAATGTATAGGCTTTATTATGATGTCCATAGGCTCTGTCCATCCTTGAGACAGGAATTAATCCTCGCAATAGCACTGGGAGATAGAGAAAGGGTTATTATCCCTATTTTCAAATGGGGAATTGAGGCACAGAGAGAGTAAGCTCTCTCAGGTTCATACAGGAGATCAGTACCAGAACCGGGAATTTAACCCATACCTCCTGCATCCCACTGCAATACCTTAGCTACACAGTCTTTCTTCCTTGATGGAGTTTTCCCCTTCCATTTATGAATGACATTATTGACCCCTACCTCATTCAGCGCAAAGGATAATGGTGCTCTGTGGATAAATCAGGGTTGTGTAATGAATGTGGCTGTGGTCTGGGCCTTATTTGTTACAGAAGTCGGAAGGTGTGTAGTGAACGAGGCAGAAGCTTGCAGGGAGAGAAGGGAAGGCCCCGTAGTTAAAGAAGTTGAATGGCGCCTTGGAGAATTGGATTCTAACCCTGCCTCTGCCACAGAGTTCCTGTGTGATGCTGGGCAAGTCACTTAAACCAAACTTTTCACAGTTGGCCGCCAATTTTGTGTTCCTCATTTTCTTGGTGCCAGATTTGCAGAGGTGCTCGGTGCTTATGACTGCAGCTGAAGTCAATGAGAACTGTGCTTTGAACATATAAAGTACTATACAATTGCTAAATTCTCTAAAAAAAAAAAGAGAGAAACAATCAGACCTTAGATGTCTTAAATGGAGCACCCAAAATGAATGGAGACTTTTGACAATTTTGGCCTTAATCTCTCTGTGACTTTCGTCCCCATCTGTAAAATGAGGACAATAACACCACCTCTCCTCACAGGGGAGAGAAACTCATTAATGTTTATGAAGTTCTCAGATATTATGGGGAGAGCACTATAGAAATGCCCAGGAAGAAAAGAATCATCTTGTATTCAAAGCAGGGCTTCACTGGTGTAAAATAACTAAGTCTTGAGGCCATACACTGAATGAGGAGGAGAAATGTTGAATAACTCCCCATTCACTGATTGAGGCAGGGGCACTGTGGGAAACCAGTATATGATCGTGTAATTAAAAAGTGTATCACAATGCATATGTACAAGGGAGCCAAGTTAAGCTTGCACAGGAAACCTTAATTCTGTTGTTGCCTAACATTTGAGTGCTTGACTTTGCCACTTCAATGTTCTTTAACAATTTTTTTTGATGTGATAAAAAAATTATACTTCCATGGCATCTTCCATTCTAGATCCTCAAAACTCTTTAGAAACATTCATGAATTTAGGGCGTGTCTGCACCTGAAAATTCATTTGGATTAAAGTAGGGTGTGAATTTAAAGTCCACCAGCTGTTCCTGAAAAACTCCACAATAAGAGTGCCGTGCTGCTGTTTAGCTTAATCTACTTTCAAGCGTCCTAAATCTCTTTGCAGTACCTTAACTACACAATCTTAAACTAATCTAGAACAAGGCACTTTTATTTCAGCTTAAGTCCCCACACAGGGCTTGATTCGGGAATTATGCCCTGTGCAGACGAGCCCTAAGCCTCACAACACCCTCTGAGGGAGAATTGCTGTCACCCTTTGCAGATGGAGGAAGTGAGGCATAGAGGGGTTAAGACAAGTAACTTCCCCAAGAACCACACACAGTGTTTGTGGCAGAGCCAGGATTAGATGCCAGAACTCCTGTACTTTAGCCATAAAACCATCCTTCCTCTTTTTGTGGTCGTATGTTGGGTTAAGGCTACTAGCCATTACATTGCTAGAGAGGCTCCCTTACAAAAGCAGCTGTATTAATGGGAAGTTTCCCACGATGTGTTTTCCTCAAAGGTACCAAAATAATAACTAATGCTTCAGTGTTAATGAAACCCATTAAAGTTAATTGAGCAATGATTAAAGCAGCTCAATACATTCCTCTTGATGCTTTTGTTTCCTATTCATGACACAGGATAATCTTCACTGCTCGTCTTTTATAGGGCTTTCAATGTTGCTTTCCAACTGATCTCAGGTAGTAACTCTGCTTACTTAATCAATTCACCATAGCTGGCATTTCCGGGATAGACCTGGCCTATAGTCTGCATGCGTAGATTGTCACATTTGCTTTTACCACATCAGGTTCCCCCATAAAAACACCACCACATTTATGGCAGGATAGGTATAGAAATAGTTTCTTGGGAGCAGCTGTGTAGATACAGTGAATACCACCCCCTTCTTGTCCTGTTTGCTGCAACATCAAAGGGATAAAAGCTCAATTATTTCTTAATGAGAGTAACCAGAGTACCAATTAGTAGCTGGTTACAGCAGTTGCAATTACTCTAACTAAGCCATAGATTGGTGACATTAGTGATAATGGCACATTTAATTACATGGGAAATGGCTTCAATAGAGTGGTAGGAGAGTACCAAAGAAGAACTAAATATTGTTTTATAATCTTATCACTCCTAAAGGCTAGATCACCCCCACTCCCAGAAAACCCCACATAGGGTACAGAAAATCAGGAGGGAAACCTCATGGAGTCTCCACTGGATCACTTCTTTGGTGAGAGTGAGGTATGTAATCCCCATAGATGGACCAAATGATCTGGTCCCCAAAAACAGACTTCCCATTTTTAACAGTGAGGGTCAGTACCCATCTGGAACAGAGATCAGACCAGCTGTTCATCACAGTCCCTTCTGGTCTTAAAATCCATGAAACTCATGGATCGCTAGGGGGCCACTGAAGACAGGGGCCATCCCTGTGGAGACCCCATAGCTTCTTGCTCCCTCCAACCTCTCTGGCAGGCCACCTCCTGCAGAGCCAACACTACTAGAAAATTCCCCTTCTCTGGGTATGTCCACACGACAGCTGAAGGTGAGATTTGCAGCTTGGGGCGGCATACTCCAGCTAGCTTTAATCTAGCTCACATTCTAAAAACAGCAGTGAAGACACAATGACCCAGGCTTCCTACTGAATACGGAGTCCAGTTCATGGTCTCTGTCATGACATTCAAAGCTCTCTATGGGACTAGCCCTAGCTACCAGTGAGACCTCTCTCCCAGCATGACCCTGGCCTATCATGAGAACTGCACTCCACTGGAGCAACGGAAGTGTCATCCAACGGGGTGTGGGGCGGCGCATGATCATGGGAGACAAGGGAGACTCTCCCAGGAGCTGGACCAAAGCTACAGACCAGGCTCGCAAGAGACAACAGCCATTACAGGCCTCAGTCTCTTCAGGACTAAATGCAAAACTCATCTCTCTGACTTGCCTCTCTCTCTCAAAAAGTTCTTCACACCCCACTTCAAGAAAATTAACTAAGCCATTGTCCCTATGGGAAAAAAGCAAGAGCACAAGATTTGGAGGGAGAGGGAGGGTTCAGTAGTTTGGAGGGGCTCAGGAAGTATGTAGATAGGGATCATTAGATAAACTAAACTAATTGGCCGAGGGGTGGTGGTGGGGAAGGAGAAAGAGAGAGAGAGGATCTAACCTTGCCCAGGGCTCCTAGGAAAACTTTGGGAACCAGTTCAAAGTTTTCTCTGAGGTGACTTTCCATAGAAAAGTGGTTGAATATGGAGTAACAGGAGAAACAAGTTTAAAAACCCTCAGGCTAGTCTGTCTGTAAAGATTGTAAGAGATATGTTCTCCAAAATAGAAATTCTGGGCTAGAGCCTCAGCTGGTGTCAATCACCATGGCGCCGCTAATTTCAATACAACTATGTTGATTTACGCCATCTGAATATGTTTTGCTTGAGTTGCCATTAGTTGCAATGCAATGTTGTTTGGTCTTGTGCTGACCGTGCATATTTTAAATGGAAAACATCAGGCAATAATAAAGAGAATAAACTTGGCCAGCCCTGTGAGCATGCCAAATCTCCCATGTTTGTGTCCTGAGCTTCCAAGCCAGCAGGGGCTAGGAGTGCTGCAGGGAAATTGCACTCGACTCCAGAAGCGGGGTGCAGTGGGACTTAGTGCTTCATATTCTTCTGTACTGTCCACCTAGAATGGAAGCCAAGAGAACAGTGCTGATGGCCTCTGGTGAGCGTCCAGTACTCCATCAACAATGGGAGAAAAATGGATCCTTGAGCATAGATAAGACTATTTCAGGGACCCTACTGAACACAATGACTGTTTCCAAAATCCATTCTTCCCCTAAGAATCTTTGCTGTGTGGAATTCACTACCTGAAAGTTTTGTTCATTCTCACTCATCGGCTAACTCTGTGGAGTCTACAGTTTCTTTAACTACATGTGTAACCATGGTTTCTCACTCAAACTTCGGTATGACCTTACTATTCCCCTATTAGAATTGTAGTGTATGGAGTAAACAGTCTTTAAGAGTCTGAAGAGTGAAACACATAACAGAATACATGAGTTTTAGTAATAGATTCAACTCAACCACACACACAGGAACCAGTTTTCTCTAAGCAGGAGGAACCCATTCCAGGCAGTTCTAAGCAACTCCACCAAGGATACCGAAGCTTGATATGCTCTGCTAACAGAGATACTTGGGTAGCATTACACCATTAGAACATGCTGTCATGCTGAGAACACTTGCTCAGAAGCTTTTGAGAACATATTAATCCTTTAAATTCTTTAAAGTGTATGGACAGAGCCAGAAGAACTCTGTTAAGGACTTCTTCGACAATTCCCTTCTGTTTGTATTATTGATCCAAGAAATTCATCCAAAGCTCATTGAAATCAATGGAAGGACTCTTATTGACTTCAGTGGGCTTTGGATCAGATCCATAGTTCCACACACTGCCCCTTTACTGTCCCAGAGTAGTAATACATTCAATGCCCCAGTGGGCAAATGCTGTACAGGCACAAGGTGGTAGTGTATAGGCCACTATAATACAAATGCAGTGGCAGGTGGTCATCCTGCAACAGAATGCGTTGCGGAACCTGTGTCTTTTAAGGAGTCTTTTGAAGGAGGAGAGAGAAGGAGCTCTGGTTACACTAATAACCTCAATTGCATTCATTAGATGTACATGAGATGTTTGTGTTCATCTCTTGATTTGTTCCACAGATGGTGTGAGCCTCAAAATGATTGAAGATCTTAAGGCTCTGATTGACAACATCTCCCAGGAGGTGGCTTTATTGAAAGAAAAGCAAGCACTTCAGACAGGTAAAGAGCTCATTGATGAATACACAGTTATTGCTTTGAGATTGGTGCTAATTAAAATGTGGTTACAATCTCTCTGTACATGTTGACAAGGGTGTTAAGAGAGGTCCTGGTGTATTTGGGCTAGAATTTCATCATTAATGATGCATTCATAATTAGATTAATGGTATGTGTGGTATTTTCACAACATTTCCAGACAGATGCAGCTGCTCAGACTTTTAATTGCATTAATTGTACAGTATATGGCTCAATAATTCTTTATATGCTGGAACTTCTCATTAGAAATATTGAGAATTTTACAGTGGCACTAAATCAGATGGACAAGATCGGTGAGGTAATATCGTTTATTGGATCAACTTCTGTTGGTGAGAGAGACAAGCTTTTGAACTTCACAGAGCTCTTCTTCAGATCTGTGTAGCTCGAAAGCTTGTCTCTCTCACCAACAGAAGTTGGTCCAATAAAAGATATTACCTCCCCCACCTTATCTCTCTAATATCCAGGGACCAACACGGCTACAACAACACAGAAAGCTAAATCAGATGGTCATTTTTCCTTCATCAGTCAGAGGGATAGAGTATAGGGGATCCGGTTGTGATGTTTTACTCCATATGTTTATGGAAATATGTTTATAAGTATGAATATGATGTAACTAGAATATGCTTCATGCAAAAGATCTCTTCTAAGGTATCATTATAAAGCTTATGAGCTACTGAGTGTGTACATCCTATTTGTCTGCATGTATTATTTCTATGTCTGGAGTTAGGAGAATAAGATATAAACTTGTATGACTGATGTAAACATGTTAAGTGGAAGCCATTAAGAATCAATGAACTGTGAATGGATTTGTTTACCTACAAGCCTTCCTATGTATGTGTCTTCCAGCTACTAGGTAATGAAGAAGGAGGTCTTACTGTGACATGTAATCATGTCACCTGAACTGGAATCCATCTTAAACCTCGTGCTTTTCCATTTAGAAGGAGGGGTGGGGAATCCAGAGAGACAAAAGATTCCTGCCTTGTGCCAAAGCTATAAAAGGGGGTGAAACAAAACAAAGGGGGCTGTCAGTCATGAGAAATCCCCTAGTTACCACCTGAGTTGAAACTAACAAGTACTGTACCAGGGGAAAGGATTGGGCCCAGACTAGGAAGAAGTCTAGTCTGTGAAAGAAGCTTATTGGAACATCTCTGAGGCTGAGATTTACCTGTATTCAATGTCTTAATGTATTAGGCTTAAACTTGCGTGTTTTGTTTTATTTTGCTTGGTAACTTACTTTGTTCTGTCTGTTATTACTTAAAACCACTTAAATCCTACTTTTTATACTTATTAAAATCACTTTTGTTTATTAATTAACCCAGAGTAAGTGATTAATACCTGGGGGAGCAAACAGCTGTGCATATCTATCAGTGTTATAGAGGGCGGACAATTTATGAGTTTACCCTGTATAAGCTTTATACAGAGTAAAACAGATTTATTTGGGGTTTGGATCCCATTGGGAGCTGGGTGTCTGGATGCTGGAGACAGGAGTACTTGCTGAGTTGTTTTCAGTTAAGTTTGCAGCTTTGGGTGTGTGTTTCAGACCCTGGGTCTGTGTTGCAGCAGGCTAACGTGTCTGGCTCAACAAGACAGGGCTCTGGAGTCTCAAGCTGGCAAAGAAAACAGGCTCACAGGTAGTTTCATCACATCAGGTGACAGTTCCAAGGGGGTCTCTGTGACTGAACCCGTCACACCTGTACTTTAATATTTCCCACAGTTTTCTCTTTGCTGTGCAGCCAGCCATCACCCTTTTGTCTGACCCACATTGCAATCAGGTCACTATAGCATGTTCTATTATTATTGTTTGTAATACATTATTGCCTAGGGACCCAAATCAGGGATCAGAGTCCTGGTGTGCTAGGCCGTGTACAGACACATAGCAAAAGATGGTCCCTGTTCCAAAGTGTTTACAATCTAAGTATTCCACACTAATATCATGTGAAGAACTGCCACCGACATCAGTGGAAGGTGCGTTGGCAGAACATGCAATAGACTTGAGACCCACAGTGTGGCTTAAAGAGGATAATTTTGTCCCATATCTAATTATCTTCTTTGAAAAAGAATATGGGTTAGATTTAGGTTTCAGACACAAGTCCAGGTTCAATGGGACTTTAAAAAACAGTTTGAATATTCATATATGGCTCCTATTAGGGTTGGTTTTTTTTATAAGGTGCCCAGAGGCTTTCAGTGCTTAAAACTTTAAAAATGTGTAATTTCTACTAACAACTATATCATTGTGAGAGAGTAGAAAGCTTAAAAGTTTTTAGCAATGGGGCAAGGAGGACATTTTTCTGAAGAGCTTAAGTTATGCAAGTGCAACATTTCTGATCAAAACCCGTGAAAAAGGGAGTCTCTTTCATGTTTGCATAACTCAAACAGCTGCATCAAATATGCACAAGTTTTCCAGAACTCTGCAATGTTGGGTCGAGAGCAAGCATGAAAAAGTTCAGCCCATGAGGAATTTGTTTGGGAAAGTTTAGGAGCAACTTAAAACAAAGGGAAATGGGGATTTGAGTTCTTGCTTTCTATGCGAATTTGGAAGGCACATGGACACAGCGGGTTCCACATAACCATGTTTACTAATTATATACAACCATACAAGGACGCGCGACATCTATACCCTGTCAGAGCAGCAGTGTGTGTAAGACAGAGTGGCCCATTATAGGGCTTCCAAATTATTTAAAGAGCTACTGTAACCCACGCCTACTTGGTGTAGCACTCTCTAGTGGTACCTAGGCCATCTAGAGCAGTGGTTCTCAAACTTTTGTACTGGTGACCCCTTTCACATAGCAAGCCTCTGAGTGTGACCCCCCCCCTTATAAATTAAGAACACTTTTTTATATATTTAACACCATTATAAATGCTGGAGGTAAAGTGGAGTTTGGGGTAGAGGTTGGCAGCTCGTGACCCCCCATGTAATAACCTCACGACCAACTGAGGGATCCTGACCCCCAGTTTGAGAACTCCTGATCTAGAGATTAATGAGTCTGCTACAGCCTTAGCTAAGAGCCATGTGGTTTTTAGCTCATGCAGTAGAGAATCATGCATTTAGCTCCAGAGGTCCCAGGTTCGACCCCACCCGCCGACCACTGGGGGCTGTCAGTGATACACTACTACCCAATTCCTATACAGGGTGTCAGAATGAAATTTTGAATTCAACTGTAACATTTGCTATTGACGACCCCTCTCAGGCACTGTCTTTACAACATGTTCTTTTTCTGTTTGTACTTTGTCTTTTTGTCATTTCTTAGTGTGTTTGAAGGGCACTAAAATTCACCTCAAGTGCTTCCTTGCGTTTTCCGACACCAAGACATATCACGAGGCCAGTGAAGACTGCATCTCCCAAGGCGGCACCCTCAGCACCCCCCAGAACGGGGATGAAAATGACGCGCTCTACGAGTACATGAGGAAGAGCATTGGGTCAGAAGCAGATGTCTGGCTCGGCATCAATGACCTGGCGGCTGAGGGCAAATGGGTGGACATGACAGGCAGCAGCATCCGCTACCGGAACTGGGAGACTGAGATCACCACCCAGCCAGATGGCGGCAAACTGGAGAACTGTGCAGCCTTGTCAGGGGTTGCCATTGGCAAGTGGTTTGACAAGAGATGCAAGGATAAATTGCCGTACGTGTGTCAGTTCATGATTGTGTAACAGCAGGGCTCCTACTGCTGACGTGTAGGCCAGGTTATTCTGTTTGGCATCAGGAATATATATAAATAGTTTATCTATTTGCACATATATACATTATATATATACACAAATAGATAAACTATTTGCAAATAAAGTCATCGTGGCCTGGTAATGCATTAGAGCACGTTAGATCTATGCTGCATTTTAATTGGCTAAAAGCTACTTCCAACTCCATAGCAGCTGCATTGTTCTTACTAAGGCATGATTTATAGATATATTTTTTTACATCAGAAATGTATTAGGATGGCTTATGTGATTTAATAAAGAACCAGTGCAACACTCCAACTTTGCAAACCATAGAGTAGGTTACATAAGCCTCATTAAATTGTTGCTGTAGATACTTTTCCTGCAATTCACTTTCCATTATTGCTGATTCTATCAAGCTATCCATGAACTAATCAAATCTTTTCCTCCTGCCGATTCATGGCCCAATCCTGCACCCCTTACTCTGGGAGTTTGGAGTCAGGAGAGACGGACTGAGCGTTCATTCAGTGAAATCAGAATCCACTGTAATCGAGATCAGAATCAGTTTCATGCTGATGAATATGTTGTTCCAAACAGTAGGACCAGTTCTTTTTGCCTGACTTTGACTTTTAAAATTGAGTCTACTTGCAGAGTAAAGTACTACTGTGACATTGGCAGGGTTGAGCCCTCTGATAATAGGACATCCTCGTGCGAATTAGAAAGAAATAGACTAATCTATAAAGGAGAAGGGTGGGATTTTCAGAAGAACTTAGAGTTGGCCTAAAGTAAATTGATTTCAATGGGAGTGGTTAATCCAGGTGCTTCTGAAAAATCCCACCGGGAAGCTTTATTTTGGAGAGAAAGTGCTGATTATTTACTAACTCATTCATTAAAATATAGTTTGTTTATATGGCCATTGGCTGGGCTCTTTGGGAACTGTAGAGGTATAAAAGATCATTGAATCCCAAGAAAATCAGATTTAGCCACTTTAAGGATCATGTGATCTATTTTAGCAATGGACTGTGTTACCCTAGCTGACTCTTGTCATCGGATTGCATAACTGAAATGCTCTCATATCTGTTGCTTTGGCTTAATGGCCTCTCCACTCAGAGCCAGAGTTTCAGCTGGTGTCAATCAGTGTAGCTTTGTTTGCTCCCCTGGCTACAACGGAGCTATAATGATTGACATCAGCTGAAAATCTGGTCTCGGTATTTGTTTGCTAGGAAGAGGATTACATTTCAATAGGAACATTTGTTTTAAAGATGCAATGATGGAAAAATAATGGCAGGCCTGGACCATGACAGTTTAATGAGGCTTTGATAAAGTTGTTTTTCTTAAAGTTTGCTCAAATGTATCATTGGTTCTTTAAGTCTGCTGTGCTTGATGATAACCCATTTAGTTGAGGTTACTTATTCCTTGCACTGTCATGCAAAGGCCTCAGATGTAACATGTTCTTCTAAAGCCCATTGGAGAAATTTTTCAAGTCACTGCTTTGTTTATAAACAACATGAGCTGGGTGTCTTTCAGAATTGATAGCAGGAGGGCCAAACAGGAAGACAGTGCATACTTCTGAGCATACTACTGCCAAACTCTCCGCTGTTCACACGACTATAAAATAAATCTATATAGCTTTGCTCAGAGAATGAAGTCAATTGATTTTAATGGAATGCTTTCTTCTCCAGCTGCTAGCGTTTCCTTTCAGAGCTGCTCCCCAGACCAGTGTGAGGATCAGAGGCATTAAAGATTGAAAAAAACCTCTTACATGGTATGGTTTGCAGGATTCTCCCTTATGTTATCAGGCTATATACACATACTATATATTCCACATGCACAAAGACAGGGGATACATTCAGTGAACCCTTTTATAGTAAACTGGGATTTCCTTCCCTCCATCATAAGGGAAGTTTTACTACAATAGAATGGCCTGCTGGCAAAAGACCCATCTCTGATCCCCTCACCACCCCCAGGAGTGGTGGCAGGGCCTCTGGTCACAAGAGGCACTGGTAGCTTTGGCTGGGGGCTTCTGGAAGGCTATGTCTTCACTCTCAAGAGGGAGCAGCCCTCTCAAGGCCAACTCCTCCTCCTTCCACACTGGGAGTAGCTGCAGCAAACAATGGGAACCAACAATTCATAAGAGCATAAGAATGGCCATACTGGGTCAGACCAAAGGTCCATCCAGCCCAGTATTCTGTCTACCTCCTAGTGCTTCCCCTTCCTAGGGCAGTGACTGCTTCCTTCTCCCCTTCCTCCAGCTGAGTGGAGAAGAGACAACATTCCGCCTTAGAATGCAGAACTGAACACCTGCCTGGTGGGCAACAATTGCTGCACTGCCAAAGGGATTAGCATGTGTCACAGTTCAGGACACTGCATCTGTACTCCCCCTCCAGGGTCCCTTGAGGGCATCCACTTAGGCTCCTAGCTCCTCAGCCATCACCTCTCCTGGGCAGAGATCCAGGTCTCTCTCCCTCCTGACTGGGGTTTTTCCAGGCTTCACAGTTCCCTGCCTACGCTGTGCTATCCCCAGCAAGCCAGACTGCCTTAAAGGCCAGAGTCTGCACTTTTCTTTCTCTTCAAAGGCTATGGACAGCTTAACCTGTGACTGCTGGCATCACACAGCTCTTTATAAGCAAGCACATTTATTGTTAAGATGAAAACATTACTGAGGGAGGAAAAGTTCCTTTACACTTGCTAAAAGCTTCCCAGAGGTCACCCTCAGTCTGATGGGGCCTCAGTAGGCCATCGTCCTTCCAATCCTTCCCAGGAAGAATTGAGGCCCTCCTTGGACAGAAGGTCCTGTCTGTTTCCTAGATCAGAAAGCAGGCCCTCAGTCAGCCTAAACTCAAGTTATTTATCCAAAAGTGCTTTCTCTGTCTGTTCCTCTCTGGAGACCCCAATCTGAACCAGTAAACGTGAGCCTCTCCAGGTGGCAGTATTTCTCTGGAGATGTTACAGCTTAAGTGAATTTGCTTAATTGCCCTTCACTGTTCTTAGTTCCTGAAGGAGCTGTGGTCACCCTCCCCCATGGCATTACGTACAATTCCTGGGCCACAATGATACATAACTACTTAATAGAGTAGTTGCAAAGATATTACAGGAAAATGCCGTATCGGTCACAGCATGGTGATGTAAAACTTCACTAAAAATAGAGTTAAGTCCATTTACTGCAAGAGGAGTGAAAGTCTACCAAGAGCACTGAAACAGTCTAGAACTTAATTATGGGCAAGATCCTGAGAACCCTCACCATGGCTCAAGCTCAGGCCCTATAAAGCAGCTTCAGTATAAGTGATCCCACTGTATACAGTCTGACTTTCTACGCTAAGGGCTTGCTCCCTTGATATTGGCACACCCACACCCACAAATACTGTCCATGTTTTGAAGGCTAACTTACTTGAGCACTGACTGTATGCAAGTGACAAGTCTTGGGGCCCAGATTTATGATCAGGGAAATTAATTTAGGTCTTTTAAAAAGGAGCCTTGGAACTGGACATGGAAAAAATGAAACCCCCAGATGCAAACAACTCCAAGCTCTGGGAAAGTTCTGAACTTTATGGCTTCAAGCATCTGTCTGCTTGGAGTGCAAAGTTTAAAAAATTGCCATTGGAGATGCCAAAAGAAAATAGTGTGAGCATAGGAGATAGAGAAATGAAAATCTACAGGATAATAAGCTTCTCTCAGTAGATTCACCGCCTCTCTCTATATATACATACATATGTAGGCACACATGCTATACTAATATAAAGAAATCATACTTCATAAATATATTGCCGTTTGAAAGTCAAAAATATTTCTCTCTTCCCATATTTGGGTGTAAGATGCCAGGACTGGTCCTGGGTTTTGATAGCTCTATTTGTGGCTTTATTATTTTTCTAACCTTTACTATTTGTTGAAGGTGCTGAACTGTGAGCTTTAAAACTGCCTAGACAAGCCCTTTACATAACAAATTGAAAGGCTGTTTGTCATTGATTTCTAAGAGGTGGACGTGTGGACATTTCTGAGGTTCCCAACCTTCTTTGGCCCGCTCTCTCCTCTTCTCCTTTAGACGGTTCGTGTTAGCACAGCCTACAGGGCTTCCACCAGTGTCTCCAAATGCAATGGAAAACTGATGGAGGGAAAGAGCGAGGATGAGAAGCAACATAGCACTGATGGCACTTTGACCCTGATCCACAAAGGTATTTAGGTGTTGAAATCTGGGGTTTAGGTGCCTAAGTCCCAGTTTTAGGCTCCATTGTCATCCCACAAAACTCCTACCAAATCCTGTAGGCGCCTAAATTCACTTAGTGACTAAATTATCAGGGTAAAAGGTCCCTAGGCACCTACATTTCTGACTGTGGACATCCTAGTGCCTCCCTCTAGGTATCCAGATGCCTATCTCTTGCCTAAGCCCCAGAGTGATTCACACAGCCTGGGATGACAAGCATTTGGCCCCTTTGTCACGTGCAGGACCCAAGCTGGTAGGATCAGGACCCATTCAAATTTTGGCCACTACTAGAGGGGCCCACCTTATAGCGTTTAGCCCAGTGGTTATAGCACTCTGCTGGGGTGTGGCAGACAGGTTCATAGAACTAGAAGGGACCTTGAAAGGTCATTGAGTCCAGTCCCCTGCCTTCCCAGCAGGACCAAATACTGTCCCTGACAGATTATTTTGCCCCAGATCCCTAAATAGCCCAGTTGAGGATTGAACTCACAACCCTGGGTTTAGCAGGCTAATGCTCAAACCACTGAGCTATCCCTCCCTGCTGTCAGATTCAATTTTCCTCTCTGCCTGTGGGGGTGGGGAAGGATTTGAACAGGGGTCTCCTGTCTCCCAGGTGAGTGCTCTAACCACTGGGTTAAAGGGTGGGTACCACCACCTCCTTCAGCCATTTTATATGGCTCAAGCCAGGTGCCTAATTCATTCCCCCAAGAAACAACTTAGATCCCGAGGTTGCCTCATTCCAGGCAGTTGGTTCTCGTTCGTGGATCACTAGCAGAGATGGGCACCTATCTCTGAGACAGGGGAGGAGCTACATCCCCCTCCTCCTCTGCATAGGTGGCATGTATGTCTTCCATTGAGGGAGGCTTATATGTGAGCGACGGAAGCTCCCTAGAAGGGGGGGGGCCACCGGTGCCTAGATTGTGACTCCGCCCCCCCAAGGCCCTGCCCCCACTCTGCCTCTTCCCCTGACAGGAAGCAGAGGAGCAGCAGAGAGGAGCAAGTAGCGGGCAGGCTGCACCTAGAGGAAAGAGGCAGAACAGGGGCAGGGCAGATCATGGGTAGGGCCACGGTCCGGGCACTGGTGCCCCACCCACACTTCTAAGGAGCTTCGCTTCCAGCACTCCCAAAGCAGTGGGCCGGCACGCTGCCAAAGGGAAGTGACCCGTGCTGCATCCATAGCATTTGCCTGT